AAGGTAAGTAGCCACAATAATCATCCATTTGGTCCGAAAACTTGAACCAACATTGCGAACTTGCAATTGGAATTTCTCTCTTATTTATTGCAGGTTAAAGTCTGCATCCAGATTCACTGTTGATGTTAAATTCAGCGTCATAAAGAGATATGACTGATTCACGGTGTTGTACATATCTGTGATCATTCCAAGTACAATATCACCTGTTATATGCCAGAATTCACGAGTCACTGCAGAAGGGGACCCTTTGTATTTCATAAATATCATCACTAAAGTCACTAGGGACCCATTACTTCGCATAAAATTATCAACAGGGAGATGCTAAAGTAATCCATGGTCATACTCGATATTTAGCTTCCTTTGTTACAAAAGAATAAAAATAAAAATACTCCATATTTATGTACTGAATTTATTTATTTCTTTACACATTCAGTAAGGCAACAAATTAAACAGTCTTTTTTTTTAAAAAAATTACTACACCTTGTTATTCTAAAAAGTCTAGTGTTTCTCTGTAAAATTGCTGGACAATAAATTTTTGTGGATATTACTCTGCACACTTGCATCATGTGTAGATAGACAAATGAACTTGGAGGTCCACAACCATGAGTGTGTCCACCGTAAACATTGTTTATACAGTAATTTTATAATATAATATATATATATATATATATATATATATAATACACTAATATAATTTTTTATCAATTATTATATAATCAATAATTTTATATTAAAAGATGAATTTTATTGATCTAATCATTAATTATAATTTCTTATTATTTTGTATTTTTATGTTAGATTTTGTTAAAATTAAATGTAAAAAATTAAGGTTTGAATGTTCATTAATAACTGTGAGAGGTGTTTATGTTTAATGTTTGTGGTTTCTCAAATAGGATGGCTTCCGAAAAAGCATACATTTATTGGGAATCAAAATTAATAATAATTATTATTATCTGAATGTTTTTCTTGGATGAGAAAGGAAATAGATTTTAAAATAAAAATTGGATAGAAATAGTATAAACAAAAAAGAAAAAAAAATGTAGTTTGATGAATGCAAATAAAAAGAAATGAACTGTAAGAATTCTCTACACTTATTTGAATGAATAGGAAAGAGAGGGGGTAAAATGTATAAAATATAAGAATACAAAAGTATAGTTATCCTAAACAAGTCTTAATCGTCTATACCCTTTATTTATTAAAAAAAATAACATCTTCTTTTAATTTTCACCATAAAAGAATTATTTGATAGGAATATACTATATAATGATATAATATTTATGATTAAAATTATTTTTATTTATAATATAAATATAATATATGTTGATATGTTATTAAAAAATATAAATATAAATTTTAATAACATATAATATATATTATTAAATCTTATTTAAAATTAATAAATATATTTTAAATACGTATATATTTAATATATCGAGACTTTTTGTATGTGTATTAATTCTTATAGTGTTTTATAACAATATTTAATTTTCAAAACTTAAAAAAAAATACAATTATTTTTATCCATTTTTACGTCTTTTGAAGAGTGGAATACAAATTCTACACATTCTTCTATTGTTAATTTATCCAAAATAATTAAAATATTTTATTTCATTTTTTTCCTCTCTAAAATTCTAATTCAATCATGTCTAATTCACAGCATTCAAATAAATTGTATCAAAAATATTTTTTATAAATTAAATCTTAACAATTTAAATATGTTTATATCAATTAAATTTTACATGCAAATGTCAACTACTTCGATTACACTTTTATGCGTTGGGTTAAGTAAAGTAATTTTTATGTTATCAAATTATAATTAGATTGGATAATAGGTCATAATTTATTATATGATAAATTGATTTAGTCTGATATATAATAAATTATTAAATTATTAACACTATATACAACATAATGCATATTATATTTTATTATATAATTTTATTTTTTTTATCAAATATTATAGTAATAAGTTAATGGAATAAATTGAAAAGGACATAAAATAAAAAAAAAATTTCATTTCATTTATTATGTAATTCAAACCTGTTAACTAATAATGACATAATGTTTGTCTATTTGTGATTTTTCATATTGTTTTCACTTTAAATCATAAATTAAAATTTGAATAAATATTTTCCTTTTTTTTCTTATTTCTTTATTTGTTTCTACTTTTTAAAATATATTTATTTTTTAATTATTTAACACGTTGACTTCTCATAGCCAAAATTTGATTTGAGTTGAGTGGGGAGTTGAGTGACTTTAAAAGAAATTTACAAACCCAACTAAATTCAATTCAATTAAAGTTAATTAAATTAAATACTAAAATAAAGTAAATTGGAACCAACCTACTCTTACAAAGACATATGAGAACTTACGATGATTATTTGACCCCTAGAACTATATTTTAACAGCAGAAATTGGTAAGTAGTAAATAGTAAAAGGGTACAAAAAAATTTAAAATTTTCACCATTGCATAATATTGATTAGGAATATTTTGACCTAACAATAGTACTAAGCCCCAAAATATGTTGGGTGGTATAGTACCGTCATTATTGCTTATGGCCCGCTATGAGGAGAACGTAATTGATGCCCAAAATGTATTATTCAACGATAAGCCTATTAAGCTCCGATAATATTATTAATATATGAGATAATATTTCACTTTTAATAATTTTTCTCAAAGATTAAATTTTATTAATTCAACATAAAATGTATTTTTGCATATCAAATTTTGGATACATTGTCAAAATTTGTTTACAGAAGCCAGATTTTTAAATATTAAGAAAATCATTTAAATAATATTCTAAATTTGTACTTATAAAAATTATCAAATTACCATAATTTATAAAAATCAATAATTTTTGAAAAGACAAAAACAGAGAAGCAAATTGAAGTGGTTGAAGAAAATCCTAAGGGTGAGTTATATTTTTAATACATGTTTAATTTAAATATTTTGTCATTCTCTTTATTTTAAATAGTATACAATCCTCTTCAAAGAAATTAACGTGTTACTTTTTAGTTTATTTTAATGTAACAAAGTTTTTCGTGATTTTTTTTTCTTTCTTTTTCCATCTCTCCATGCCACTAATAGTTGGTTTTTGTTTTTTTATTATTAACTTTGAGAGCTTATAAAACAAAAACATAGATTTCAAGTAAGGTCTCCAAAACGGTAATAAATAAATAAATAAATAAAACTTCTTTCATTATTTAAATTTTAAAATCTCAAAGTTGATCATTTAAATATTCAAAAATAACTACCAATGACGCAGCTCATAAAAAAAAAAACAAAAAAAAAAACGATGACGCATGAAAGTCATTAAGAGGGGAAAATAAATAGGCATAGTATTTTTCTTAGATACTCAATTTTTCGGAGAGATATTTTTACGTCAATATTTTAACTACACTCTTTAATTAATATTTTGTCTATCTCATAAATAATCTTTTCCTGATTTCTTTTACTGGAGATTAAAAACTGATAAACAAATGAAATAATAATTTATTTAATTAACTTTATTATTTTCTTCTTTGTAAAAATTAATGTAACACAATAACTTTTTTTAAAATGTTACTAAGAGTATAAATTAATTGAAAAGAAAAAAATACTTCCTTCCAGATAATCACCAACTTCCTTAATCTTGAAAATTCAGGTAATTAGATTTTTTTTAAAATTTAAAAATAATAAAATTACATTAAAAAAACTAAAATAACAATTATATTAAAGATTTTTTTTTTAACACTTATTATGAAAAAAATTAGTATTTTACTAATAATGTACTTATTTTTATCAAATTCATTGAAAATATAAATTTTTGTGAGTCTCTCCACTAAATTAAAATTAACTCATTGAAATTTATGATTTTTAGAGAAATTAGTCATTAATAATTAAAAATAATGTTAAAAAGATAATAAAATATTATAAAGGAAAAGTGTGTGTGAATTATAAACTAATTAAATAAATTATACTAACACTCTAAAATTTTACAAAATTACACTAACATCCCTTATATTTCTACCTCTACAATAATCTCTTTTAATCGTTTGAAAAACATTACACTAACATCCCATATCATATACATTACTTTAATCTCCCTTCATTATTTGAAAAACATTAGATTGTGACTACTTACAAGGGAGGCTACTATAAATCTTAAAAGAATAGGAGATGTTAGTGTAACTTGGTAAAGCATTTTGTCAGTGTAATCTATTGAAACTAATTTCATCAAAATAAATTTATTTAATATTCAAACTTATTTTAGTAACTTTATTTTAAAATTCATGATAAGCTACTATTTTTTTCCCCTTTTATTCTCGTTAGATTATTTGAATTTTTTTACTTCAAATAAGTAAATATCTTTTATATCATTTTACAATTTAGAAACTAACTTACACCTATTTCAATTTCAATTAATTAACTTTTCTAATTTTCTAACTCTCAACTTCATAAATTTCAACTAGAGCTAGTTTCATCGAGCACATTCCTCTCAGAAGAATAATTGGTAAGCCAGTTTTGTGTTCCCAAAACACTTATTTGGAATGGTGGCTTCGGTAGCCATTTTGGACTTTGGTGCCATTCAGCTAAGATCAAACGACCCACCACCAATAGGGGGAATTTCTTGATGACCGAAAATTTCTTGGTTTCTGTTCATCAGCACCAAAAAAAAAAAAAACATCGATATTATCATAGTCACAAGTCACATGATTCACTTGCACAACCATAACATAACAAAACAAAAGAATAATGTTGTTAAGCTAAAATCATTTACAACGATTTTTTTGTTATAATAATAATAATTTTGAAGGCAAACCAATTATAAAAAATATGAAATAGAGAAGGAAGAAATAAAAATAAATATTCTCTTTTTTTTTTTTCTCCATTGGCCAACTTTTTTTTTTTTATATACATTTCTTAATATTAAAACTCATTTCCACCTTGACAATTGAAGATTGATCCATGGTTAAAAGGGTTTGTGAGCAGCAGATTCAATAAGAAATTAACCCACATGAGATGAGCAAAAATGAAAAGACTCTATGAACAATTTTAGTAGCTTACAAAGGCTTCTGAAAATGGGAAAATATGGAAAACAAAATAAAAAAGAGAAGGGTGTAGAATCAGAAAGAAAAAATAAATAAAAAAGCCGAAAATGAATAATATTGTTTCTATTTTTTCTCTTCCTTCTTTTCTTCCTTCTTCTCCTCCTTCTTCTCTTCCTTTTTTTCCTCTTTCTTCTCCTCTTTTTTCTCTTCCTTTTTCTCTTCTTTCTTTTCTTCCTTCTTCTCTTCCTTTGCAGGTCCAACTGATATTATATCAACTTTTCCTACTTTCTTCAGCTTCTTCACTATTTTCACTGTGTCCATTTGGCCAATCACTGTCAACTTCTGCTCCTTCACATCAGCAACAATTGAATCAACCCCTGTGGATCAATCAAACCACCAAAATTAAACAGATCAATTAGTCTTTGGTCACATAACTTCTATTACATTAACACGAATTCATATAAAAAAAAATAAATAAAAAAAATTGGGTTTTACTACCAACCCACCAAAGATATCTGCAGCAGCTTCTATAGCCTTTTGCTTTGTTTTGTCATCAGTCATAGTCAAAACCTTTAACACAACCTTCTGTAATGGATCCAGTGAGGGATAACATGCAGAGAGAAAAAGGGTAAGAAAAAAAAATGGACAAAAACCAAATAATTGTATAAACTTTAAATTATTTCTATGAACCGATCATACATACAACACATGTATAAATAATGATAATGGTAAATATGTAAGAAAAGAAGTGAATAAGGAATGGAAGGAAGAGGAAATGAAAGATGGTACCTGAGCCATTTGAAGGGTGTGAAAGGAAGAGTGAGAAGAAGGGGTTTGAGAAATTGGAGGGGCATGTAATGTAGTATACTATATAAGGGTAAAGGCGTGAGGTTTTAGAGTTCTTTTAATTTGTGGGTGTGACTGTGGAAGTCACATCCAACAGATGGACCCTCTAAATGCACATTTCTTGCCGAATATATGGTGCAATTCGACACCACACAGGACAAATTTGTAGTGTTTTAGGCATGCTGCTAACATTATGTGCCATTTCGTTTTTATCTTGTTATCTTTTCTCACTTTATAAGAAAACCAAACTTTATCATTGTACATTAGAGTATGTAAATGTAATTATTCAAAGCAATGTATCAACTAATGTAGAGCTGCTCATGTCTAATTAATTTTTTTTTTTTTTTCGCCCTGGGAGTATTCGCCGCCGACAGCAATGACTAATCTCCTCGCTACGTTGGAGGCACCTCACGCTTAAGCGTGGATCAACCCCTACCGCTGAACCACACGCTTGGGGTTATGTCTAATTAATATGGAGTTATTTGTTTATTAATTTTTTTCTTAAATATGATCTTAGTCATTTAAATTTAAAATAAACTTATTTTTAATCTTTTAAATTTAAAAATATATCCTTTTGATCCCTATAATTTTTAAAAATTTATTTTAATTTTTATACTCAAATTTTATCATAAAATATCTATTAAATACTATTACATAAAATCTATCTATTAATATTTTTGTTAATCAAAATATCACTTTAAACCTAGTTAATGTTACATAATTATCTAAATATATTAGATTATTGATAACTTGAAGACTAAAAAAATAGTTTTACATTTAATATATTAAAAATAAATTTATCTTACTTCTAAAGACTAAGTATATTTAAGTTTTAATTTTTTTAAATAAATAATATTGATATAAAATATTCATCATCAAAATCAATGAATAATCTATGTTGAAATTAAATTGTAAATACATAAAAAAAAATAGATATTTCTTTTCTATCACAATTTATTTTATATTCAAAATCAAAATTTATACCATGCAGAATTGTTTTAATTTTATGGATGATAGTTTTAGAGTTAGATATTTATAATAAATATTTAGAAGAATTTTTTTTCACATGTAACTATCCTAGTTTGAGCATAATTTTCTCTCATAATCTACACAAGTGATATTTGATTTAAAAAACACTATACCAAAATTAATTTTTTGTGGCAATTAATTTATTATTTAGCGGCCATATAAATGACCATTATTTTTTTTACCAGCATTTAACTAATGGTTGGTGTATCCAGTGTCACTAATACTATTACCGACATTTATATAAAATGGCAATTCTAGTAACCATTTTAAAGGCTATTAAAAGTTATTTTTTTCAATTGTCTCCTTTACTTTAAATAATTTATTCCTATAATTTCATTTTCTAAATTCATAACTTATATACTTTTTTATCTCTACTAGACGTGGGATTTGTAAAATGAGAATTCTCTTTTATTTATATATTTTTTAATTTATTTTTTTAATTGTCTTGTCTTTTAGATGTGAGATTTATAAGGTGAAAGTTGTTCTCTAATTGTTTTATAGCACTATTGAACATGGTAATAATGAGTGATTTGATACCAATTTAGAATAGTGAATTAGGAGTCAACCCTATAAAATGAACCTGTAAGGTGATAGTTATTACTCACTTATGTACTATTTAATTATCTTATCTCTAATCGATGTGGGACTTAAGTTTTTTCTAATAAATAATTGTCGTTAATAATAAACTTTAGTATAATATAAATACATTTTTAGTGGCTATTATATATTAGTCATTAATATTTTTACATATGGCAGTAATTAAATTATTTCTATTAAATAATTATCATTAATAACAAATTTTGTTGTTGTGAAAGAATGAAAAGTTGAATGTGAATTGGAATTTGGAAAGGAAGAGTGATAAAGTTCTTGAAAATGAAGCTAAATTATTACGTTTGGCTAGTTGACTAGTCACTTATTAGAGAGAACATGTTGTATAAAAGCAAATCTCTGCATCACTCTTTTAGCAGCCACATTTTTTTTTATTACTAAGTGAAGCTTTTATGAAATAACGTGTGTCTAACTTATCAAACAAATCTTATTATGTAATGACATCTATATGAATTTCACTTGAAAAGAGTGTGTTATCAAAATACCTTTCACTCATTGATTACTAAAATTTCTATTACCAAGGGTATATTATTATCTTTTTTTTTATATTTCATCTAGGAAAATAGCACTGTATTATTCAACAAGTAAAAAAGAAGTAGTAAAATCGTGGTCAAATACAATGTCCAATGTCATAAAGTATTTTTAGATTTTGACGTTTGTTTCTTCTTTTAGTTTGTAGCACCAAAGTTTGAATGTTAGTTTAGATCTTTGATAATTTTGCACACCATCTAGCTCAGAATTCCATTATGTTTCAAATCAAAACAAAATACATCATTCAGGTAAGTTGGTCATGTTTGATATACGACAAATATTGACATTCAAACACATGCATCATTTAAAAAAATAATTATTTTTTTTACCAATGCCAATGGGCACCGACGGATATGTATCTCCTTATGAAAACAGAATTTTTGTGTATAATATTATCACGAAGTAAAGCATTGTCATTTCGTATAAGACATTTGATGACTCACATATACAATATTCTTCCTAGATTGTCTGCTCTAATAGATATGCTTTTTCATGAGAGACTATTTGTTGATGTTAATTTGTTACCTCAACTTGTGAAAAGGAAAGATATATGATATAAATATGTCCAGATTAACTTTTAATCAAACACACCCAAATTAAAATTAGATAAGATTTTTATAAATAAAAAAAAAGAAAAAAAAAGGATATTTTCAATACTAGCTATTAGATAAGATGTCAATTATATATTAAGTGTTGAGAACAAATTTTTTTTTTCTTTTACGTATAATAATGATAATGAGAAACATATTAAAATAACACCATAAAAAAAATAGGAAAAGATCATACAAATTTATTTAACGTGGTTTAGCCCTTCATGTTTATGTCTACAAGGGTGTTTATTATTTATCTCAAAATGTTTATATATATATATAGAAACTTGGAAATCCTTTCTTCACAAGTTTTCTGGCGAAACTTGAAAATCCTTGTTCACAAGTTTTATGACAAAACTTGGAAACCTTTATTCACAAGTTTTCTGGCGAAACTTGGAAACCCTCCTTCATATGACCTCTTCTCTCATTTAAGACAGTGATCCCCTCTATAAGTCGTGTGATTCTTCTCATCTCAATAGTCTCTATTTATTGAGCTTACATCACAATTTAAAAGAGGAAACAAATCTCTAAAACAAATACAATATATTTAAATTCTAAATAATATCCTAAAAGAATCACTATCTTTTAAAATCTAAATAATATCTCAGAGATTTGAATTTGAAAATTTGAATTGTTTTCCCAACAATTCCTCCACCTATTAAAATTTTCAAATTTAACCTTGTTGTCACGTATGCTTGTCACAATCAGCTTCAATCATACTTTTACTCTGCAATATTCCTTGTCTCCATTTTTTGGGTATTGGAATCATTGTATGTCAATATTTAATACTCAAGTGACAGGTCACCAGGCTCCACAAACCATGAGCTCTGATACCACTTGTTGGATACCGCGGGTTACCACACACATACACATGTCTCCACATTGGTAAGATATTTTTTGCTTTGGGCCCAAGTCCTCACGGTTTTTCTTTTGGACATCATCCAAAAGGCCTTTCACCAATGGAGACAATTATGTGTATATAAACCCATGTCCATCATCTTGTTTGAACGATGTGGGACTTTGCTTGCATCTCAACAATCCTCCTCTCAAACAAAGGACCACGGTTTGACCCTTCCCCTGCAGCGAAAACTACGAGTATTATCCGATGGTGGCCCATAGAGCTCAGTCACGCTCTGAGTGCTTCCACTACCGCTCCATCATGACCTCCCCCATGACAGCGGGACACGCCTCCTAACTCTCCACCGTTTAAGAAGACTTCCGACACAAGGGATCCTAAACTTGGATTCACCTGCCAGCCATCATACTCATCGAGTCGGTCACCTGATCAGACCATCGGCTCTGATACCACTGTTGAGAACAAAAAGTCTTCTTTTCTTTTACGTACAATAATGATGATGAAAATATATTAAAATAACACCATAAAAGAAATAGGAAAGGATCACACAAATTTATTTAACATGGTTTAGTCTCTCATGCCTATGTCTACAAGAATGTTGATTATTTATCTCAAAATGTATTACATATATATAAAAATCCTCCCTTCAAGTTTTGTGGGTTAAACTTAAAATCTCCTTTCTCACAAGTTTTATGGGTGAAACTTGAAAATCCTTTCCTCACAAGTTTTCTGGCGAAACTTGGAAACCCTCCTTCGTATAACCTCCTCTCTCATTTAAGGCGGTGACCCCCTCTATAGGTCAGGTGATTCTTCTCATCTCAAGAATCTCTATTTATTGAACTTACATCACAATTTAAAAGAGGAAACAAATCTCTAAAATAAATACAATATATTTCAATTCTAAACAATATCCTAAAAGAATCAAATATTTTTTTAAAAAATTTAAATAATATCTCAGATTTTAATTCAAAATTTTAAATTTTTTTCTCAACATTAAGACTATCAACAGAAATTCACTTTGAGAATTTATACACAGAGCTGGATTATAAACAATTTCATTTAATTACAATTATTCTACAAGTCTCTAAAAAGAGTCCAGAATTTCCCTTTAGATTGTCCACCAAGCAGATAATGTGGCGTTAGGGTGAATTTAGAAGAATTCATCACCTACATGATTTAGCTTTATTTTCACTTTAATTAGGAATTTAATATTATATAAATTTAATTATAATACACCGAAAATATAAAGATATACTCATTATTGTATTAATATAAAATTATTATATATAATAAAATCATATTAATTTTTTAATAGTTATTTCACTCAATTGTATTTTTGATCATTTATAATATTTGATTTGTGATTTTGGTCTCAAAAATTTTCAATTTCACAATTTTGATTTTTCAAATTTATAAATTTTACATTTGATCCAACACTTAAATAGTCTGATATTTAAAATTGTAATATTGATCTTGTAACGCCTAATT